TATACATTATATGTATATATTATATAATATATACAATATATATTATATATATATATAAACATATATAATAGGTAATATATATAATAGGTAAAATTGGTCAGTAAGCAAGAACTCGTTTAAAATTAAGTCCTTTCTAAAATTTTCTCTTATGCTTTTAAAGATATTTTTCATTTATGCTAATGTAAAAATTAATAATTTTGTACCAAAGAACCTTAGAAAACTTACTTAACCTTATTATAACAAGCACAATTTAATTTAGCCTAATCCGACTAAATATATTTTAGATAAGTTTACAATAATTTAATAATAAACACATTGAAAATTTTTTTTTCTTTAGTTTCAGAATGATTTTTTGCGAAATTTTTGCATAAACACATGTTCGCTTGCTTTATTCGGCAAGAAAAACGTTACTATTTCAGCCTGATATATATATATATATATATATATATATATATATATATATATATATATATATATATATATATATATATATATATATATATATATATATATAATGATGCTGCTTAGCGCCGATTGAATGGTGCACTCTCTATCGGGTGTGATGTAGCGCATGATCAGAATGTTTACATACATGCGTCACATCCCGGTGCGTCCTGGGTAGTGCTCACGTCACACTTCCACCATGGGTTGTGCGCTAGCTGGGCCGGGGGGCGGGGTGAGGTAAATGGGGCTGCCTGGTCTGGTTGCTGGGGAAAGGGGAAGACCTGAGCTGGGTTATGGGGATGGGGATTTTCTGATTTGGGAGTAGGGAAGGAGAGAACTGAGATGAGTGGTTGTTGGGAGGGGAAGATCTGAAATGGGAGGGGGAAAAGGTAGAGGGGAGACCCTGCAGGTTAGTAAAGGTATGTCAACTGCACCTATAGCTTACCTGTAGCCGCCTCTGGAGGTCACAGCCTCTGCGGCCCGGTCCTGGAGCAGGCATTTTGGTTGCTGGCCTGATCGATCAAGCTGTTAGTGCCCACATATGCCAGGCTCATCTTGTAGTACACAACGCCAGTATGGATCCCACACTTGAGGAAGCATTTTAAGAAACTACAGAAAATGCAGAGGTATACAAAGAGACTAGTTCCAGAGCTAAGGTGTATGAATGACAGAGAGTAATTGAATCTAACGACCCTGGAGAACAGAATGACCAGGAGACACATGAAAACAAGATACAAAATAGTCAAAAGAATTGATATGGCAAACAGGGACAGACTGTTTGTGAGACGGAAAACAGGTACTAGGGAACACTGCTGGAAGCTAAAAGTACAGTTGAGTCAGAGATGTTAAGAAGTATTTTTTGAATCTCAGGGTGGTCGGGAAGTGGAATGACCTCAACGAACAGGTAGTGGTGGCGGCGGCGGCAGACTCCGTATATAGTTTTAAGAATAGTTAAGATATGGCCCACAAGGCTAGAAAGTGAATCTGGCAAGCGGCAAGTTGAGAGACGGGGCCAAAAGTGAAGACTCAACCCCAGCAACCACATACAGGTGAGCACACATGTGCAATTACACACTGAAAACTAACCCATTATCTTAGAGAAAGTTTCCCACAAGCTGTTTTGACGTAGTTTTACCAGAAGATGTCATTGAAGGGGGGGGGGGGTGTACAGGCAAGTATCCCCCATGGTTTATTCTACTGCTACGCTGGTGAAAATGTTGTTTTTCTTGTTCAAGGGCGCGAAAGACAAGGTAATGGACGCCATTCCTGCTGACATGGAGGTGTGGGGGGTAGAGGGGAGTGAGAGGAAGAGAAAGGGGAGGTGAAGGTGGAGGTAGGGACAGGTAGAATTTGTTATGAAGGGGGTCGAACGGGCTAAGTGGATGGCTGGAATCCAGAGAATGTCACCCGTCATTCAAATTTGTGTTCCCGGTCACTCCTGGGTTGTGTAGCAGCGCCCCTTTTTCCTCTCTCTCTCAATCTCTCTCAATCTCTCTCAGTCTCTCTCAATCTCTCAATCTCTCTCAATCTCTCTCTCTCTCTCTCAATCTCTCAATCTCTCAATCTCTCTCTCTCTCTCTCGCTCCCTCCCTCTCCCTCCCTTTCCCAACCAACCAACCAACCACTGATTCCTCATTGGTTCATATCCTGTCAGAGTCTTCAAGTTTAGGTTGTATCACCACAATATGAGTATACGTTTGATGAATTTCCTGAGTATTTCTACTCCCGTCTAAAGTTAGCATGATCAACCTGGCTCTTGCTACTGGAGGCCCGCTGCCCCACGTATCCATCACAGCCTTGTTGATCTCGCACCTGGTGAAGATACTTGTCCAGTTTCCTCTTCAAGACTTTTGCACTTGTTCTAGCAGTGTTTCTGATATCTTATGGTAAGATGTTGAATAATTTGGGGCCACAGATGTTGATAGTGTTCCCTTATTGTGCTCGCCACACCCCTGCTTTTCACTGGGTTTATTTTGCATTTCCTCCCATGTCTTCCGCTCCAGTATGTTATAGCAGTGTGCAGATTGGGACAAGGCCCTCAGCCCGTCATCCAGTGTACACACTGATCGTGTGGTTCCAGCGATTTAATTAAGGGATGTGGGTTAGCACCCTACCACACACAAGCTGCGAGCATACGGAATCTTGCTATTAATTCTAAACTATACGCAAATTCAAGTTTAATATGGTTGACTTACGTAACTTAAAATTACTAAGATTTAACTTATGCTTCAGTTTAGATTGTGCATAAATTGATGTACTGTAACTCAGTTCAAAGCAAGCTTGTTATTTGGAGGAGGGATTGTGATGTGTGTACTCGCGTATTTAAATACTTGCCTATTTGTGGTTGTAGGGATAATTCTCAGATCCTGGCCCTGCCTCTTAGCTTATTACTGTTCAGATTCTCTCTTATAGCCTTATGGACCGTGTCGTACTTGATCTTAAAACTGTGAATGGAGCCTGCCGCTTTTGCTACCTCACCAAAATCATTCCACTTCCCGACCACTTTGACACTGAATAAATGCTTCCTAACATCCCTGTGGCTCATCTGTGACTTTAATTTCCAGCGGTGTCCTCGAGTTCCCCTCTATCTCTCTCTCTTTTCTCAAACAACCTCTCTGTGTCTACCTTCTGAATTCACCTGAGTATATTGGATGTTATCATGTCCCTCCCTGGTTCTGTCATCCCCAAAGTCGTTAGGTCCAATTCCACTAGCCTCTCTTCGTAGCTAACGCCCCTTACCTCAGAAACAAGGCTTGTTTCATCCCGCCGTTTTTGTTGACTTTTACAACATGCATGGCTTACGGAGGAAAGATTCTTATTCCACTTCAGCATGGATATGAAAAGAAAAACAATAAGAACAAGAAATATTAAGATAAAATCCAGTTTCTTAACATGTTTGTGCTTACGTACATACGTGTGTATGCGTATATGCGTGCGCGCGCGTGTGTGTATTTAAATAAACAAAATTTAACATTGGCCTTGGGAGATCATGTGCTGTCCATTTGCAGTAATCAAGCTCTGGGTTGCGTGTCGTGCTTTCATCACCCTTATAAACTCGGTTAACCACCTAAATTATTGGGAGCTCCTGAAGTTCCTTGAATTGTACTCCTTAGATCTTAGGCGAAAAAGATGCATGATAATCTACATCTGGAAGATGCCGAAGGGATTGGTTCTAAACTACACACCTCAGTAACTACAAATGAACACTGGAGGGTTGGCAGACTGTGCAAGATACCTTTGGTGAAAAGCAGGGGAGCGGTTACCAACAGACCCCTAGGTGTCTTCAGGAGGAAACTTGACAATTTCTTCAAATTGGTTCCCGATCAGCTGGGCTGTGGTGCAGACGTTGGACCGCGGGCACTAACAGGCTGATTGACCATGACAGCAACCAGGCAGCCTGGTCTGGAACAGAGTCGCAGGGACGATAATCCCCGGAAGCGACTACAAGTAACCTATGTCAGTTAACTCGCTACTGGTATATTGCCATCACTCGTACTAAGATGCTTCACTTATCTTGTATCTCATACGGTTGCCTAATAAGCAAACCTAAGGAAGCACATGTTTTTAGTGACGTAAGATCAACTGTGTGTTTGGCCAGTCGGCCAACATCAGCTATAAAGGTATGGCATATATAAGAAATCAACCCTATTTAAATAGGATTGAAGGTCTGTTTACTTGTAATTCTTCCCCTGATCTCTTTTTTTTTATTATTTCATACGGAAGACTGCAGTATCCTGGGTGGCAGGACGTTCTCAAAGTATATACGTTCAGATTTGAGTGTTATTAGTTTTTTCTTGCCCATATTATTGGTTGCCAGACGTAACGCAGTCATTTAAAAATGGCTGCTTTGTCTGGCAACCAATGGTATGAGAACTCTATCAAAATTAAATTTCGAAAAAAAATGAAGCATTAATTAAGAAATTATCGTAGAGTACCAGGTAAAAAAAAAAACTGACGTAGTAAAGTGAATCTCGGTTCCAGAAACCTATATGAGCAGATTGTGAACGCGTAAGAAAATCTTAAATATTAAATACATTTAACTAGTCTTCCTTTAAGTTATAATCACACACTTGACATGTATTTCATCATTTAAATTAGAATAAAATTCATTTATGTTTTGGAAAATCTTGATAACTATTTGTAATAATGAACGAAGGTTAAAGACAGGATGTGCAAGGTAATTTGAGAACATCTGGATGAAATTTCTGCTCGAAATAAAAGTATGTCCGTGAACAAAATTATAAAATAATAAATTATTAAAATTATAATAATAATAAATTATTAAAATTATAATAATAAATTATTAGTATTATAATTATTGTTATTACTATTACTACTAACCGTAATTTTTTGCTTGTGCATAATTTCAATTTTTTTTAATCTGTCAAACTCTAGCTTGATACCAGATGTCTCTGATTTATAAATTGTTGACCAGCTTACCACAGCTAACACACACACACAGGCTTAGGTAATGTCATGATAATCTATTGATATATATAGTTTAGCGGTAGATGGGAAAACTGAAACAAAACATGTGGTGGGTAGTGATGGGTGAGTGACGGAGCAGGGTAGTCGTAGGGGCAGTTGTGGTTCATACTGGCTAGTTACTTGGACTCGCTGCGGGTTCTGGATGACCTAAACTATCCTTCCTCGTCATTGTGTTTCTGCTTCTTAAGGGAATGTCCGAAGAGGGGATTTGTGTTCGATGTGTGCTGATATATACAGTAATAAGTTTATTTCCAGGCGGCCATGACAAAGTGCAGGCAAAAAGTGACTTTGGAAGCCTAGAAAACAAATTATTATGTAAAACACGATGTGATCATTGATGTGATTTTTTTAAAGACGCTCTCTATGAGTTGAAGCTTGTTCAACTGTATTGTAGATGCGGAGGAAAAGAAAGAAGAGTAGTGCTACTAGTATCATTGACAGATGATACTAGATAGAAATACTTAAAAATCAAATGAGTGAAATAATTGTTCGTCCTTCACACTAGAAGGTGCCGTACTAGTTAATTTACGGAGCCTTAAGTGTGATCCTTCACGTAAGTAGTGTGAGGTGTTTGTAGCAATTATTCTTGCTGTCGGTCATGCGCATGAGGAGCCGCAGTGTGGCGGGGCCTCCCATCAGGAGCTCCACCACCAGCAGCACTTCCATCACCAGCAGCACCTCCAACACAACCTCCAGCACCGCCACCAGTAGCATCACTTCACGCAGTGTATCGAACCTTCCTGGGGAACTCAAACTACACTACTCTGATGTCGTCAACGTGGCAGAGAAGCTGGCTCGACTTTTCTCCCGTACACACACATACAATGTGTACAAACGCCACAAGACGCTCAGCAGCAACTGCCAGGTAAGTTGCTTCACATGCTTTTCTTTCCCTTGTCTACTGGGAAGGAGATAGGTGAGCAATGAAGCAGGGCTACTGGGAAGAAGGAAGAAAGGGCGACATAGGTTTGTGGGAAGAGTTAATGAAACTAGTGTTGAAAATATCGCTTGGTATATATAAATTATTTACTTGCATAAATAAGAAGACATTCATAGTTATGACCTGGCCATTGATCTCCGACTCATTTATAGATAATTTACCCCTCAAAGGAGGTTCCGTATCCTCTCCTACAGGTTATCCAAGTGGAGTATTAGCTTTGGATAACTCAACAATGCCATATAGTATAGCTTGTTTCCATTAGGGCCCTTCCCTAGTATACGAACCGCAACAGCCCTTCGGCCGGGGGGGGGGGGGTGCTGGTGAAAGGTTTTCATTGGATAAAAACCTGATTACTTCCCATTTCACAGACGACGTGTGACCAACAGGTTTTAAGTTTCTTCGTGATTATAATAATTGCTGATATATGAACAATTTCTCCCGTAGAGGTATTTGTTTATTTTGTCACTTTTGAACCAGACTATGTTGATGCTCTAGATAGACGTTTTCTAAGTAGCCGTCAAATCTCGGTACTGTGGGCACGGCGTTCACCGTGGGCCCACAGCAACTTGCTCTCATGACCACCTTGACCTTGCGTTAGGTGACCTTTGGACGGCAACGCCGCCACTCTTTCACATTGGCCGCCAGCGAACAAGGTATTTGGAGAACAAGATAACCGCTCCGTTCCTCTGAGCTTGAGCGTTCTTTGCCAAGTTGCACAGCCAGGGTTAAGATCGGCACACGTATTGGAAAAGCAGTATATATTATGGACCACTTGATGAACAAGGCATGTGCAACACCAGGGTATCTTTATTTTGAATTTATTTTGCCAACCAGCAACCAGGTGTTACACATGTTATTATTCATCAACTTGTAGGTACTGTATGCCATTACTGTTACCATTACTTGTGAGGAAGTTTCCCTCTTTAGCAAAATTGGATAAATCAGCACTGTGCTGCTACCTTATTATGTATGGTAGGTACACAGTGTATTTTCACAGACGTCACGATTTCACTTGTTACATGGATGGGGCTACGATGTGATTAAAGGGTATATATTACCTGCCTGGCTACCTGGAGGGTATTCTGGGGATCAACGCCTCCGCAGCCCGGTCCACGACCAGGCCTTCCGGTGGATCAGGGCCTGATCAACCAGGATGTTACTGCTGGCCGCACGTAGTCCAACGTACGAACCACAGCCCGGCTGATCCGGCACCGACTATCCAGCTCCCTCTTGAAGGCAGCCAGGGGCCTATTGGTAATTCCCCTTATGGCTGGTGGGAGGCTGTTTACAGTCTTGGGTCCCGGACACTTAAGGTGTTTTCTCTTCGAGTACCAATGGCGCTCTACTTTTCATTGGGGGTTTTTGCACCTTTGATACAGTCAAACGTACAGGATTCTACCTGATAAATAATGTGCTGAACAGTCTTGTATGTTTTAAAGATATTTTCCCCCAGTTTTGTTACAAACATGACACTACGCCCGTCTACTCGGATAACTTTTCATTAGGTTCACCTTGATTAATTTTTATTGCCAGGGAGTCTTTAATACTTCAAATCTAATTCATGATCGGACATAGCTATTATGACAAACAGTAACTACAGTAAAGCATATTATTTTTCTGTTGAAAACAAATTAACTGTAAATTACCAAAAACAAAGTAAAACCTCGCATTTATAAACGTGTCATCGGATGTAACCAACCCTGAAATTGATAACTTAACGTGAAAACACTGTAGTAGGAGCAAAACCTATGTTTCCCCATCAGGGCTTTTTTTAGTAAGCAGCAGTATGCTGCTAACCTATTTTGTATAATATACAATGGGAAGAAACGCTAGTTATGTCTCTCACCTGTCGCGGGGATTGACTGGAGAGGTGGGGGAGGGGTGGGAAGGGACGTGTGGGGATAGCTATGTTTCCCACCTGTTCTGGGGATTGGCCAGAGAAGGGGAGGTGGGCTGGAAGGGACGTGTGGGGAAACTGGTAACACCACACTCACGTACCAGTCTGCCATTAGCCACCGCCACGCGGGGATGTCGATGCTGCTACTGGGATCGGTATGGATATCTTGGTTCGTCTGCAACTGACTACTAGTGTCGAGCTATACTGGTGCTCATTGCAAGCACTGGGAGTGTGTTAATGGGCACAATTAATAAATTTAAAATGACAAAAGTTTGCAATTGAAAATGACAGAATGTGATAAATTGTTCATTGAGAGAGACTCCCACCTGGCCGCCCGTGTCCAGTGTACGTAACCAAACTCAGCGTCTCCCCATTATAACTGGGCCACCAGAACCAAGCCAGTGAGTGATATATATATACACACACATCTGTGACTGTCCACCATCTTCTGTTGTGCTACTTTGTGTCCCACATCTTACTACGGTACCAGAATTTTGCCATAACTGATTTGATTTGCCTATATTCATTTATTCATTTATTGGTTTTTATGAACGATGCATTTATTTTCTTTTATGGCATGACGCTCGGTGCATACTTATTTTTTACGGATGTTGCAAATTTAATAAGAGGCCTTGGAACTCAGGAAATGGTTTGTGACGTGTGTAGGAGTGATGGTATGGAGTGAGGTTGCTGGAGGAAGGGAGGACATGATTGTCCTGCGTCTCGCATGGCAGTCATGTAGGAGTTCAGGGACTCATCTGTCCCGGCCATCCTTCCTTCCCGCACAGCTGATACAGAAAACAATGAAAACATAATTGGTGTCATTTTGTGTGTTTAACAGTTTTAAAGCACAGGTTTGTTGGAATGCAAGTGTTATTTTGAATAGAAGTCTCATAGAACAGACCTTCTTAGTTGGCAACCTAGTCACGTTGATGCGCTGTCGCCAGACTGTTGATAAGCGAGAAGGTGAGGACTGCAATTTCATGCCGTGAAGGACAAGGCAAGAAAGAGGAAGAGGAGGAACATTAAGAACGAGGTGGCTGGCGAAGGTGGAGGATGTGGCAACGGAGCATCATGCAATAAGAACGTTGACCCCCCTCATGCACACGCCCTCGTTCCTCTTGTATTATGCCTCTAACTCGTGTTTAAATAATCTGCATCTATTTTTGTATTTTTATTAATACAATGTCACTGTCTTCCTATCTCCCTTTCATTAATCTCGTTTTTCCTCACGTCCTCGCCGTATTTTCCTCGCATCTTCTTCACACCTCCGCTCTTCCTCTCATCTTCCCCGCAGTTCTTGTCATTGTCCCTGCACATCATATAATTTTCTCTGGACATATATTTCTCGCACATCCTATAATTTTATCTGCACATATCTTCCCCGCATATATAGTTTTCCCTACATACATCTTCCCCGCACATCATATAATTTTCCCAACGCATCTTCACTGCACATCATATAATTTTCTCAACACATCTTCACTGCACATCCTCTTGTCTTTTTCCCCGCACATCCTATCATTCCTGCCCATTCTTTTTTTTTGCCGCGCTTTCATCTTCCCAGCTCTTCACTTTGAACTCTTTAAAATTAATGTATTGTCGGAGGATGGGAGGTGGGGGCAGAAAATAATGGCATTGTCTTCCAGCGTTCTTGATATTCCTCCAGTTCACCTTCCCCAGCATTATTCCTGACCAACTTCTTAGAATGGCACGTCACATGTACGTATATGAAATATAACATGGCACTCGCGGGAAATCTTGCTCGCTCAGTCAGTCCAGATTTCCCTGTAGTATATTAGTCGGTATTCAAAGAGTGACCAGTAATTTCTGTAATAGGGATAAGAAGCCAAGACGGTGTGTCCTTGGAGCAGGTGTGGGTGATGACGTTAATAGGTTAGATAACAATCACGTCTAGTAACGAGAACAACCCCATTATCTGCATCAGTGTTGGAAGTAATGGTGTGGTGTTGGGAAATGCAAATTTGAAGAGTTGCTGGCTAATTAGAAGGCAGCTAAGCTAATTAGGTCAAAGGAAGAGATCCCAATCATATGTAGCATATTGCCTAGAAGAGGAGTGAGCAATGAATGGATGTCTAGAGCAGTTTGTGAAAATTGCTGGCTATTCAAGTACTGCAAGGAACTTGGCATTCCATTTATTGACAGCTGGGATAACTAATGTGACAAACATGAAATATATGTTGGACAGTTCAATTGAAGGCGTCATTGCTAAATTGTCTAAGACTTTATACTGGCATGTGGAATATGAGAAATTACCTCTTGGGTCAAGGCATGGCTGACCGATAGATAAGAGTTTGCATTAATGGGATGGGGACAGGTTATGAATAGTATGCCACAGGGCTCATTGTTGGGACCCTTATTTACAGTCCATATAAATGACATTGATGAGGGAATAAATAGCGACACGAGGTTACTGATGACTCTAAATTAAGCCATCAAATAATTGCTGATGTTGACATTAGAAGGCTACAGGAAAACCTGCATAGGTTAATATTGTGGTCGAAGAAGTGTCAGGTGCAATTCAGTGCAGACAGATGTAAGGTTCTGATCCTAGAAAGAGGAAATAACTATAGTACAATGGAACTCCGGTTTTCGTATGGTTCGCATACCGCATGTCATACAGTTTTGATTTAGAACACTTTTTTGGGCGAAATTATGGTTAGGATTTTGTACCTCAATCCGGAAATCGTACGTATCATATGCCTTCAGTGATTAAGGACGTGTGCAAAGTGGAATGAGTTGCAGACTTTTGTTGAAAAATATCACCCTGTCAAAGCAGATACAAGCCGTATCTGCAACATGTTCAGTGACAGTACCTTGTCCCACTTGAGGCAAATCTTAGAGATGCCAGAAACGGAGCTCTCTGGACAGATTTTTTTAGTGTGACAGGGGTCCAGTGCCAGTAAAAAACAAAGAAGGGAAGTAACCCCAGAGAGGGCTTTGATACCTGAAGTTCTTATGGAGGGGGATTACCCTTCCAAACAATTACCTCTACTCCCTCCCCCCT